TGAATAACCTTTTTTTCAATTTACTATAATTAGGTTTCAATGACTAAGTTGTAACAACTACAGGACAAGTCTTTCATTCATTTGTTACAGGAATTGAATGAATAAAAAAGGCTTTCTCTCTCCTTTTAAAGACATTTTTATATCTATACTTCTTTTTTTACAATATATGTATTCTTGTAGTTTGTTGTGTTGGAATTGTAGGAATTGTTTTTTGTTGTAATTGTAGTGATCTGTACTGCTCATTTAATAATATGCCAAAGCACTGGTTGAAGTAAAAACTCCCATGTGTCAACAGGTATTAGCAAATGTGCACTTCAGTCAGATATAGATGCTGTTTAGAAAACCCTAGACTTAACTCAGTACTTTTATATGTGGGTACAGCTGTGGAAAATGGCCATTAACCTGTTCAAAACGCCAACTACACTTAACTATTACGTATTAACTATAAAAGCTGTATAATTACATTAAGGATAACATCCCAGGTTGGGAAAAAACATGCTCAGTGTGAGAAAAAACGTTTTAGTTAAAGGTGTATTGGGCATAATTATTGATATTTTTAATCTGAAATAATTTTTTCATTGCTGTTTGATTGAATTAGAAAATAAAATATTAAGATTTTCACTTGAATTCAGTTCAATTTTTTATTGCATTTTATGTTCATACTATACTACTTTGAAAGGAAAGCAAATGCATAATTTGGCCAGTGTGCTTTGTTGTCCATCTAAGTTACCTTCCACAGACAACATTAAAAAGAAACCTTCTAAACAAAACCTAAGAAATCTATATGTTCCTGTGTTTGAACTGTTTTAAAGAAAGATACAGTAGTGTTCACATTCAAGCAAGTATCTTCTAGTTTCTATGTCAATTACTAACTGACAATATTCCAGATTAATTCTTCCCTCAAAGGCATTTAATCATTGTTACAATGCTTAGACAAATATAATTCTACTTTCTTTAGTCTACATAATTCAAACAATAGCTAACCCTAATCCTAAAGAAAATGTCTTGAAATATTCAAACTACAAACATGTCCACTGTGAAACACAAGAAAATCAAAACAACAAAATAATAAGATATAAATCCAAGGTTGTCGACAATTACAGAGCTGTATATTTCCTGCCCTTTCAAGCAAGCAATACATGAAGCTATCCTCTGGAATGACCCTGATGAGTCTTTGTAAAGTCGAAGATGAAACTGTGGTGAGTCAACCATACTGGGTAGCCATTTAAAAGCTAAAACACAAACCCAACATATTTTCATCAATCAGTGGTAGATAATCATACTCGTCTAGAAGGTTCTTACTCTTCCAGTTTCATCTCATCAAGACAATGAAAAGTTGTAAATATATGTCTTCCAAAGTGAAAGTTTGTTTCTACTTCTTCCAATTTTGAAATGGCTGCCACCTCACTTTTCAACAACATTTTAGTTTTTAATATTATAATTCACATTTACAAAATATTTTTTCCTTTTCTAATATATATACCTATATATCATTGACCAAATTAATTTATGAAAAATCCATAAATGTAATAAAGAAGAAAAAGGTACATTCGCACTCAGGTACATTCACACTCATACAATACTGCTGAATAGTAAATAAAATGTAAACTTAGAAGTGAAGCATAAAAGATATTTAATTGAACTGCTTTTAGTTTAAATTCATAAATTTAAATATTAATAAACCGTAATATTATTGCTAGGTTACTAATAGCAATATTCTGTATATAATTTAATGAAATTTAATGCCACACATTGCATATACACCGCCCTACACAAAACTGTCTGCTTATCTCTATCAGTGCTATCTGGGCAATGTTATAGCATTTTCTTGCATAGGTTTTGAGGGATACATGTGTAAGTTGCATAAAGTGCTATAGTTCAAGCTTAAAATATAACCAAAATTGTACAAAGGCATTCTGAACATTTGACAATTCCATTATCATTTATACATTTAGCACAGTTCAATGGACATGATAAACAAGTTCCATCTATATATTGATTGTGGCATTTGATACAAAATGTCCTTTGGGTATGAGAATTTAAAGTACATTGAAAACAGGCTGAGGACAAGAATCACATTTCTTAGTTATAGTGTTAAGTGCAGTTCCCTTATCACAAGATGAGCAAAGTAGATTATCATTCAAATCAGCACCACAAACAACATAATAAGGTGTACATGGTGCACAAGTTTTATCAGATTTCAAACCATATCTTTTATAGCATTGTGAACAAGTAGTAGTTCCAGCATTCAGGAAACGTATTTGGCAGAAGCTGGGGCATTCTGAAAGTTTAGAATGAAATCTTATGGCAAAAGGAGAAAATAGAAAATTAAGCATAACATACTTATGATTTTCTGATCAGTTGTCAAATCTGCATGATGATTAAAGCATTCAGAACAAATTGGTTGATCATTTATAATGGGGGCCAACAGAAAAAAGGTTAGAGAGAGACAAGGGCTAGGTTAGGGTTAGGGTTAAACCATGCATTTGGGGACGTTTTCTGTCGTATCCTTTATAATGAATGCTGGACAAATCTTTCTTTGAGTATAATTAAAAATGTCTGTATTATTTATGATTTTGAAAAATATTTAAGTATAGAAAATATATTTGAAAAAAAAGTGAAATGCCAAGGCTAGTTATTTAAATAGAAAAAAAAATTGAAGGATAGTTAAAGTAAAATTAAAAGCAACAATATATGTTGCAAGAGTAAGAACCTTCTAGACGATACATAAACCACATCTTTCCATGAGATAGTAATTTGGCTTGACTTTGTGTAGAGAATATAACTATTCTTTCATTTTCTCTGCAAATATCATTTATCAGAAAATTATCTGGAATAAAAGTCTTGTCAAGAGTGAAGTATAAGCCATCTGGTCCTTTAGAATTAAACTGCTGCCTTGTTCTATTAATAAGTCGGACAACAGTTATTAATAAATGGAATAGCAAAATTTGATTTTGGAATTTCACTGAGACACTTGCCAGCCAAACATTTTCCTGATGTCATTTTATCATTCTGACCACTTTCTTTTAATTTGTGTCTAATTCTTATTTCTATTTCCAGGTTATTATTTCTCTCATGAATATGATTCATTTTGCCAAGGATAAAAGAATTATCTCTTTGGGAAACTCTTGCAGGACACTTCATGGATATGTTTCTGATACTACATGTCCATTTAACTGTGTTTCCAGTCTTTTCTTTTACAGAAAAACAGTATCCTTCATGCAAAAGGAGATTTTTTCCTTTTTGATTCATTCCTTCCAATGTTGTGAATGCAGGGTCCATTTCATCTTTTTCTTGAATATTTGAGTTATAAAAAGATTTTTCAATTAAATTATCTTGAGAGGCATTTGCTGAATGGTTTCCATTATTCCTATGATCACATAATTCTTGTTCCTTCCCTACACTTTCATCTTTTCCATTTTTTTCTCCAGTAAAAGAGTTATCTTCAAGAAAAGTATGTCTGGAACAGGTACTTCTTTTTAATGAGACAAAACAATTCTTTTTGAAGACATCAGTGCAGGTAGAGCATAAATATACATCAGACACTGCAAATATATAGAAATAAATAGGAATGATAAAATAATAAATGCGAATATTACTTGAAATGCATTTTTTATGAAAGTTAAACTGATGAGAGCAGAGTGAGCATTTCCTTGTGAATTTTCTTTCAAATATTCTATATTTACAAATTTGACAGTAAGGAGCCATCACCTGATGAAAAATTGGAAAGTGGACATGACACAATGGTCAAATAAAGATAAAGTGAACAACTTACTTTTTTTAAATAAATACTTTGGGAGTATGAAAGTCTTTGATGAAATATCTATATCAAAATCACGTTGTTTTAAATCAGAATTAATGGTTAAAGCTCCAAGAATAATCATTGTAGTAAAAAAAGATGGCTACCAAATATCAAAAACAGGAAGGGGACAAGACTTCCTGTAAAAGAGTATTTTTTTTTTCAAACCAAATAATTCTAATCTTAAGTACATTTAAAAAAGTTTGAAACATTTTTTTATATTAATATTTGATTAGCAAGTCAATGTAACATTTTTTAGTACAATAAAGAAATTGTTTCACTTTTCTAGCTTAAGAGACAATCTGTCAGGGGATGTTTTGTCAGGGGAATGTGTTTAAATCAATACAAGAGAGCCAAAAAGAAAACCTCAGTGATTAATATTCCTTGCGTATTCCTGTTTAAAGAATGCTCTTTTATATTTCTGACATTTTAGAAATAAGGAAGAGAAATGAACTGAAGAAGCCCTATCAATTTTTCATAAATTGATTGAAGATATTTTCAATCCAAAGATTCATTATTAATCTTTCTAAACAAAATATATGCTATTATTTTGAACTTTGCAGGTATATTTATAGAAAGAGAGGGAGATGGAGGGAGATGATAACACTTTAAAATGAAAGAATAGAGACAGTGAAAAACATTAGTTACCAAAATGTCCTTTGACAAATCATAACCTGGACAGAAATCCCTGTGAACAAAATGTCATAAATAAATTGCAGCAATAAAATCACAAAGTCAAGTAAAATTCAAAACTTTCAGAATAGGTAACTTGTTTAAAAATTTTTTCTCCAACTGAAAAGTTCCATCTTTGAACAACTCAATTTTTTAAGTTTTTCAATTAACAAAACAATACTCTAAGAAGAGCTTGATTATGATTTTTGATCAGTTGCCAGATAATGATGAGTGTTGTTCTAAGTTTATAAATAAATATATATAAATCAATCGCTATTGATGTCTACTTCCTGGAGTAAAGACAAAAAATTCATTGAATTTTTTTGTTTAATTCAGAGAGTATTAAAGAGTGCTCATTGATCAATTAATCGTTAAGATTTTTCCGATATTTTTATTTCCTGAATTTCTCGCATAGATTGATCATTGGCCGTTTGAACAAGTTGCGCTTGAGATGATTTTTTATAAAATTTTATCATTTGCTTGTATTTTACAATTGACTAACTGTCTATTCAACATTTCTGATCAATGTAATGTTGTTGTTCATGAACGAATACGTAATAGGAAATGATGATATAACTCTAGACGAATGTACAAGTGGTAATAGTAAAAATTTTTGTTGCTTTGAGCCTGGTTATGGTTGCTACAGACCCAAATTAAGTATACCTGGCTTTACTTATAGACATGGTATGCTGACCGGTTATGATTCACTTGGAGTAGCAACCCCTGATTTAGAAGATCCTGAAGATTGCGCAAAATACTGCTTAGCATTGCATAATTGCATGGGGTTTACAATGACAGAGACTCCCCATCTTGGAAGATACTGTTTCCCTAAAAGTAATTCTTTTTTTACAACAGCTGCTCCCTCGGCTATGCCAAATATGCTATCTTATGATAGATTTGGATTTGGCTATACCACTTGTGAACAAGGCGAATGTACAGAGACAGCGCTATATACTGGAAATGAAAATTTTGCTGGCTTGTCTTCAAAAGTGCCGAGAAAATAGTAATTGTGAATATTTTATTCTCAGTTCTGGTCTTTGTAAACATGTACAAACATGTACTATTAATAAAATTCTGTAAATAGGGTTACCTGTTCAAATCTGTTTTGAAAGTTAAACCTCACTTTCAAGATAATTTAGAACTTTTTAACATTTTATCAGATTCAAATTCTTCT